AAACTAAAATTATAGATGTGAGAAGGCATCGTTTTTTAATATTTTGTAATCTAATATAAAGCCATCAAAATTTTAAGAAACATGCTACAAAATTTTTTCTTAATAAAAATTAGATAAAGGACGCTAATTTTTTAAAATTAGATGGGGTAGCACCGTTCTGACAATAAACCTGGATAGAAATATATATATTCAATAATTTTGAAATAATCAATAATTGTCAAATTTTTATGTTTTATCCTTGTTTAAATTTTTAAAAGTTTTAAAAATATTACATATGACAATTGTCAGTTTTCTATGTTAGATCTAAAAAGTTCAAAAAAGTATAATAATAACGATTATGACAATTGTCACTCTTCTATTGTATATTTTCATTGAAATTTTAAGGATTTACCTAGTCAAGTTCACCAATTCTTTTTGGCGCAAGATTAATTGCTTTTTCTAAGCCTGGAGGAGTTCGGCCAATTGCAATTGAAATTTTAAGGATTTACCTAGTCAAGTTCACCAATTCTTTTTGGCGCAAGATTAATTGCTTTTTCTAAGCCTGGAGGAGTTCGGCCAATTGCAATAGGGTCTTTTTTTAGGAGACTATTAGCTAAGATAATCGTTGAGCGCATCAAACCTGATGCTTCAAAAATGTTCCAAACATATCAACTAGGCTTTGGTACTAAAATGGGATGCAAAATAGCCGCTCACTCTCTTCGCATATATATCGAAGATCCTCCTCCAGACGCCGTAGTCTGTAAGCTTGATTTTAAAAATGCTTTTAATTCTTTATCCAGAAAAGCATTTTTGAACATATTTTATGAAAAATTCCCAGTTTATGCAAGATTTATTGAACAGTCTTATGGCTGTAGAACCCCTCTCAAATTCGGGGAATATACAATTCCATCTGACGAAGGTATTCAACAAGGAGACCCTTTGGGCCCTCTGATCTTTAGTTTAGGTATACATAACCTAGTTCATTGTCTAAACTCCTTTATTTAATTTAGATTTAAACATATGGTATCTATATGATGGTACCATTTGCGGACCTTCTAAAAATATTTTTGCAGTGATAGAATATATAGAGAAGAATTCTCTAAACATAGGCCTTACTCTAAATAAAGCTAAATCTGAAATATGCTTTTTAAATTCAAACTCTCGAAGTCCAATGGTTTAAAATCATTAAAAAAAGTGAAATTAATCTTCTAGGTTCACCTTTAAGCAGTTTTTCCAACTGTGAGGTGTTCGTGGAAAAATTTTTAGAAGGCTTATTAGGACTTGAAACTATCTTAAAAGAAATTCCTTCACATCAGAGCTTTTTTCTTTTAAAAAAATATTTATTTTTACCAAAGATTTTACATATTTAGATCTTCTTCTTTTTTTTAAATAATGAAATTATTAATCGTGTTCATGAATTTTTTATAAGTTTATTAGAAAATATTTTAAATATTAAATTGGAAGATTTTAATTAGGGTTTCTCACAATTACCCTCGAAAATGGGTGGTTTAGATTTATATCCTTTATTTCCTCATTTTTGGCATCGCGTTTGATGAATAACGCCATGATATCTTCTTTTATCTCTCCTAAAGATAACATTTTAAACTCAGCATTGACAGCCTGGGTATCTTTAGCTCCACCTGAAGCTGTTTTACCCACAATCTTAACACACCAATCTATTTTCGAACCTTTAATTAAAAAAATTTTTTAAATAATCTCATTTGGAGTATATTCAACTATTACAGAATGCTGACTGTACTAGTGGTTATGAATGGTTGGAAGCATTACCAAGTCGTAACCTAGGTAACCTCTTATCAGATGAACAACTACGAGTTGCCATAGGCCATCGACTTGGATGTAACATTGTTCAACCACATACATGCATCAAATGTAAAATATTAGTTGACTCCAAAGGGAGACATGGTCTAAATTGTATATATAGTCAAGGCAGGCATGCAACAGCAATTAATTTAGCTATTAGCCGTTATCTTACCAGGGCCCGAATACCAAACATCCTGGAGCCTACAAATTTATCATTAGATGATGGCTTAAGACCAGATGGCTTAACTTCCGTGCTTTTGTCTTTAGGGAAATCCTTAATTTGGGACTCCACATGCGTATCTTCTTTCCCCAAAAATTTAAATTCTAATCCGGTTGATATAGCTGAGAAAAAAAAACAATGAAATATTCCAAATTCACAAATTATATTTTTAATCGTTATCTCTTCGCTTGGACATATGCTAAGCGGAACTTTAAAATTCTTAAAAAATATAGGCGATAAGATAAGAGCCCTTACATCAGAACCAAAAGAATACTTTATTTTAAAACAAAACCTACAAATAACTATTTTAAAATATAACTATTCATGTTTTTTGGGAACTTGTAGTTCCACCTCCGTTTTTATAAAATAATGCTTTATTTTATTTTATATTGATATATTGTTATCTATGTTTGTATTTTATACTTATAAATCGTTAATTATTATAAATAAATAGGCTTTTTATAGATAAATTAGGACATTAAATTTATATTTTAGTAGACTAAAAAATTTCAATTTGAAAATTGTAAATTGTACCATTACCGGCATATTGATAAAATTATATTTAATATAATCATAATGTAATATTAATATACTGTCAATTTTACATCTTAATAATATAAATTTATCCTATTATCCCTAAAAATAATCAAAAAAGTTAAATAATAACAATTATGACAATTGTCACTCTTCTTTGGTACATCTTTATTGAAATTAAATTTTACATCTTAATAATATAAATTTCAACCTATTATCGTCAATAAAAATCAAAAAAGTTAATAAATAACTATTATGACAATTTTCACTTTTCTATGGCACATCTTTATTGAAATTTTAATTTTACATCTTAATAATATAAATTTTAACCTATTATCGTCAATGAAAATCAAAAAAGTTCAAAAATAACGATTATGACAATTGTCACTTTTCTGTATATCTTTATTGAAATTTTAATTTTACATCTTATTAATATAAATTTTAACCTATTATCCTCAAAAAAAAATAAAAAAAGTTAAATAATAACGATTATGAAAATTGTCACTCTTTTTAGGTACATCTTTATTGAAATTTTAATTTTTGTTAACAATATCTATTTTTACCCATTTGCTTTAAAAAAATTCAAAAAAGTTCAATAATAACGATTATGACAATTATCACTTTCCTATGGTACATCTTCACTGAAATTTTAATTTAACATGTTTGCAATATCTATTGTAAAAATGCCCCTTACTCTCAACCCTTGCCTTTAGCTTAATTTACACTTAAATTGAGTCACAAATATCCAAGAGTTCTTTCAAATTCTTTATTCACAATGATAAAATAACAATAATATAAAAATAAACAAATAACCAATAACTATCCCATTACATTGCAAAATCTTCAAAATCATTCCAAGTCATCCAATATATGCTCTTTGTTCTTCCCCAGCTGGCATCCCGTGATCTTCCATTCTCTCCCTTTCCTAAAGGAAAATTAATTGTTCATGTCATAAAAATGACTGACATTTAGAATATTATATTAAATTTATTTCTTCTTTTTTTCTAACAGCTACAACATCTATTTTTACCCATTTGCCTTAAAAAGATTTCAAAAATAACAATTATGACAATTGACACTTTCCTGTGGTACATCTTCACTGATATTTTAATTTAACATGTTAACAATATCTATTTTTACCCATTTGCTTTAAAAATATTCAAAAAAGTTCAAAAATAATGATTATGACAATTGTCACTTTCCTGTATTAAATCTTCACTGCAATTTTAATTTTAACATGTTAACAATATCTATTTTTACCCTTTTGCTTTAAAAAAGTTCAAATAAAAATTGTCACTTTCCTATGGTACATCTTCACTGAAATTTTAATTTAACATGTTAACAATATCTATTTTTACCCATTTGCTTTAAAAAAATTCAAAATAGTTGAAAAATAACGATTATGATAATTGTCACTTTTCTATGGTACATCTTCATTGAAATTTTATTTTTACATGTTAATAATATAAATTATAACCTATTTACGACACAATAAATCAAATAAGTTAAAAAATAACAATTATTACAATTGTCACTTTTCTGTGTTACTTACATTACATTTTCATTAAAATTTTAATATAAATTTTTTTTAAATATAAATTTTTACCCATATATGTTAAAAAACAAGGAAAAAGATGATTCTTTAGATTGCGGGTCTTACAGAGCTATTAAACTCTTGGAACATGCAATAAAGGTATTTGAGAGGGTGTTAGAGAAGTGAATAAGGGAACATACTAAAATTGATGAAATGCAGTATGGTTTTACTTAGGGAAAAGGCACGACAGATGCAATTTTTGTGGTGAGGCAAATACAGGAGAAGTATCTTGCGAAGGAAAAGAAAATATGCGTTTGTTGATTTAGAGAAAGCATTTGACAGGGTGCCGCATAACGTTACTAGATGGGCCTTGAGAAAATCAGATGTGGAGGAATGGTTGGTTATCGCAGTGATGGCAATGTATGTAGGAGCATAAACAGCAGTACGGACGGATTATGGTGATAGTGAAAGCTTTGAGGTGAAAGTAGGACTTCATCAAGGATCCGTGCTGAATCCATTATTATTTATCTTAGTAATGGATGTGGTGGCTAGAGAAATGCGTGAAAGATTTCCCTGGGAGCTATTATATGCAGATGACCTGATATTAATGGCAAACAGTGAGGAAGAAATGAGGGATAAAATTAGTATATGGAAGATGACTATGGAAGCAAAGGGTCTGAAAATGTATGCATCAAAGACAAAGGTGATGATTGGTGGGGAAAATCTAAAGATGGAGGAATCCAGCAAGTGGCCTTGTGGTGTATGTGGGGAGGGAGTTGCTAGAAATTCAATCCAATGCACCAGATGCTAAAAATGGGTACATAATAGATGTAGCGGAAAAGAGTTAGAAAGAATGACCTTTATTAGTAGAACATGTAGATACACAATAATGATAACGTTGAAAATGGTGGTATGGATATTGGCAATGGGTTAACCCTAGAAAAAGTGGGTAAGTTTTGTTATTTGGGTGATATGCTAAACGCAGATGGTGGTGTAGATTCTGCCGTTGTTGCAAGGGTCAGCCAAGCTTGGAAGAAGTTCAGAGAGATGTCGTCTATTCTTACAAATAAAAAAGTATCTCTGAAGTTGAAGGGGAAAGTTTACGTAAGCTTTTGTTTAGTTTATGGCGGCGAAACATTGACAATGAAAGCCACTCACGAAGCCAAATTAGAAAGAACAGAGATGAGGATAATTAGATGGAGTGTAGGGTATCTTTGAGAGAAAGAAAAACTAGCAAGGAATTGCGAGCAAGATTGGGTATAGAAAGGATTGGAGTGGTAATGCGACGAATTAGACTAAGATGGTTTGGGCATGTGGAACGTATGACAAAATATAATGGGTAAAGAGATGCACTTTGATTGAGGTAAGGATCAAGACCTAGAGGAAGACCCAAGATGACGTGGACAAATGTGATAGCGGCGGATATGAGAAGCATGAATCTTACAAATATTGATGCTCAGGTCCGTCAAAAATGGAAAAGAAAAATCAGAGGGAAAACTGGTTTACCCGGGTAAACCTGGAAATTGCCATAAAACGGAGAAGAAGATTTAATCATATATTTTCATATATTATATTAATATCTAAAAATCATTATTTTAGTTAAATTTTGATAAATGTGATATCTAGTCATAAAATTTTTAGCTCATTTCATACATTTTCACAATAGAATCCTAACTTAGGTTTATGCAAGAGTATTAAAAATGGTATCTGTATCTAGATACATTTTAAAAATTGTATCTGTATCAAGATAACCTTTTGGACGATGTATCTGTATTTGGATCTAGATAACTTTTTAGACGATGTATCTGTATCTAGATCCATTTAAAAAGTATCATTTAACAACTCTGCTAAAAAGCAATTAATTATAATCAATCAAAATTTGATTTTATTAAATAAAAAATTGAGATTAAATAAATAATTTAAAATTCTATTTTTACTTAATATTATTGGAAAAAAAATATATTTACTAGCTTATATTTTTATTTTGAAAATATAATTATATATACAATATTGTGATTATATTTTGAAATTTATATCAAATAATATTATAATATATTGTGTTAAAAGATATAAGACATTTATTTGTAATAAATATTTTTATAATTGAAAAGATATTAAAATAATATTATATATATATACATATTACATTATCATTTTAAAAGCTAAAATTATAACAATATTTAATCAGCTAAAAAAATATTTCTCAAATAATAGGTGCTGAACTAGGAGGGAAAAGGGAGTGTTTCGAAGAAACATTTGTATTTTGAATTGAATTTTTTGTTTAAGAGATAGAGACTCGTTTTTGACCTCTGTTAATGAAATTCTTCTACCCAATTGATTTAAGAACTTTAGGGATTGGGGACCGGGGTTTCCCAGAACGCTAAAAATTAGGGGAATAAATATAAAAGAATTAGGGAGGAATCTATATTTATTAAACTTATTGATTTCTTGGAGTTCCAAGGGGTCGGTATTTCCGTTAACCGGAAAGGAGGTAGCACACTAGACATCTCAGACAAGTCTTTTGCCGCCGTGCCAAGACGTCAAAGACATGCCATCGGGGCGCTTACCGTCCGCATTTAGGAGACCTAATGACTCCAAACTATTGGGGAAACCGGCCGAAATCAAGGCTTTGCCGATTAACCTATTAAGGTTGTCGTGCCTCAGAAAACGGCCACTGACTTTGAGACAAGAAAAGCAGTGTCTAGAGAAGGGATCAACCTGTTTGCAACAGGCAGCACAGGTGACCACAGAAGAGATAATGCAGCAAAATATTGACCAATGGCAGTTTGAAACTTATCGTCTGTGAGTAACGTTTTCTTTTTACCACTCGGAATCGCCTCTAGACATTCATGGCCGTTAGAATTTTTTTTTGCGTTTCTGAGCAGTTGAAGGTTAGTTAGATCGGGACATATACAACGATTTTCAAATGTAGTAATATTAATTGACCATTTTGTAATTAGCCATGATTTATATACAATGTAAACTCCGCTATATTTTTTTTACCAAATTGTAACCAATTGTATTATATTGATAATTGTTTATCTCAATCGTCTTTACTAATTGTAGATATATAGTTTAAATAAAGACAATTAGAAGGGCCTGGCACGGCCTCAGCTTACCAAATTAAATATGGCAGGAAATCAGACATTTTTAAAACAATATGATTTATAATTATTTAATAATTTTAAATTTTAACGGCTAATATTTAAAATTATTATTTATTTGTTTATTTTTTTTTACGTACTTTCACTTCATTTATTTTTGCTTTAGGAAAATGCCAAAATATTTTTTAAAAAAATTATAAATTTTAAATTTTTTTTAGAATTTTAAATTTTTATGAAATTGAAAAATACTAGGCATTCAGGTAATCTCGACAGAGGTGGAGGAGGAATAATTTTTTGTAATATTAAAATTATTTTTTTGAAACATTAAAAATTTATTTTAATTAAAATTATTTATTAAGTGGTGGGGTTTGAGCTCGGCATTCGGTCAAATCATAATATTTTCAAATAGGATATGTTTTACACGTATTTATAGATGTATAAACCAAATATGAACATTTTTCAATTAATATTACTACCAAATTCGGTCGATCGAATATTTAATAAATTGTTGGTTATGAGCTCGGCATTCGGTCAAATCATAATATTTTCAAAATATTTTTTAGGACAATGCTTACCAAGTATATGTACACGTATATACCATAAATAAAGAATTTTCCATGGATAACGCAGCAATGCAGTATTTAGTCATTGGGCCGGTTTCAAATCGGTTAGCGGTCAAATCACGATTTTTTAAATATTTTTTGGGAAAATGTTTAACACGTATTTATAGATAAATAAAACAAAAATGAACATTTTTCAATTAATATTACTACAAAATATTTAATAAGTGGTGTTTTGTGCTCGGTATTCGGTCAAATCATAATATTTTCTAATATTTTTTAGGATAATGCTTAACACCTAAATATACACGTATAAACCAAAAATGAAGAGATTTTGATCAATAACGCCAGCCATATGTGCCTTACAAATTTTATTATTTTTCGATTCTAAACCTACTCATTAATTAAATGTCAAAGAAACCTATATTTTTTAAATTTTTTTTAGGTTTTTCACATGTATTTACACCCAAATATAAAAAAAGCGCTAACCAATAATATTCTGGTATCCTCAGATGATTTATGCATTTAACGCCCTCTTATAGATATATATTTGTTAAATTTTGCAAATGAAATAAAATTTAAGTTGTAGCTAGTAAATATATTTTTTTTTCCAATAATATTAAGTAAAAATAGAATTTTAGATATTTAATCTCAATTTTTTACTTAATAAAAAATTGATTTATGTACATTTAAAAAAATGTTTCTGAGAATTATTTTTTAAAAAATATTAAATAATCAAATATCGCCGGGGTGGCCTAATGGGTAAGATGTAGGCTTGGAAACACGAGCATGAACAAGGACGCGGGTTCAATCCTGGTAAGAACCATAAAAACTTTCAAGTTTTTCTTCGATGACTGATGTGTAAAGACATATGGTATGATGAATTTCGGAGCTTAGAGATGACACCCCGGTCACCGACAGGCATGGACAGCCGGGTGCTAAGGATACCTGTCCAATAAACAAAATGAAGGACACAAATGAAAATATGAATATGAAAGCTAGGGCGTTCCCTCCATGCGACGCGCAGGGTGTAGACCTCCATCCTGTGAAAAATAAAGTAAAGGTCAAAGCAAAGAAGACAAGACTGGCAAGTTTGAATATTGGGACGCTTAAAGGTAAGACGAGAGAATTGGCATCAATGTTGAACAGGAGAAAAGTTGATATAGCGTGCATACAAGAGACGAAATGGAAAGGACAAAAAACTTTGATGATTGGAGATGGGTATAAATTGTACTATAATGGACTTGTTAGCAATAGGAACGGTGTCGGCATCATCCTCCGCCAAGACCTAACCTCTTCAGTAGTAGAAGTCAACAGGATCTCTGATAGACTAATGAAGATAAAACTCTGCATTGGTCAATCAATACTACACATCCTTTCAGTATATGCTCCTCAAACGGGTTGCAAGGAAGAAGAGAAAGATGACTTTAGAGCTATCCTTGATGAAGCTGTAATGGAAATCCCTAAGGATGACCTAGTCATAATTGGTGGTGACTTAAATGCGCATGTGGGGAAAGCAAGAGATAGCTACAAAAGGCATCATGGTGGTTTTGGATACGGAGAAAGAAATGATGAAGGAGAGCATATACTGAAATTTGCGCAAGCCTTCGACCTTGCCTTAACCAACACCTACTATAGGAAAAAAGACAGTCATTTAATAACATATGAAAGTGGTACTAGGAAAACACAGATAGATTACATGCTAATCTCTCGCAGAAGATTAAAAGATGTAATAGACTGCAAAGTCATCCCAGGAGAAGATATCGCCGCGCAACACAAGCTACTAATCATGGATTTACAAATCTCAAATAAATCCACTCAAAATAAGATAAAACTGGAACCATGCATCAAATGGGGCAAATTAAAAACAATGACAGATGCCTTTGCAATCAATGCAAACATTGAAACAATAAATTGCTCACAAGTCAGTGAAAAAATATGGACAGACCTTTCATCCAGATTAATAGACACTGCAAAATCGACGCTAGGCTTGACAAGAGGAGGCAACAAATCACACAAAGAACTATGGTGGTGGAATCAAGAGCTACAAACCACTATACAGGAGAAAAAAGCCCTTTATAAAATATGGTACAAATCCAAAAATGCAGATGACAAGTCAAGATACAAAAAATCCAAGAGATTAGCTACAAAGGCGGTGGCTAGGGCCAAATCTATGGCATACGATGACATGTACGAAGATCTACATACCAAAGAAGGGCAAAATAAAATATACAGATTAGCCAAACAGCGAGAAAAGAACTCTAGGGATATAAACGGAGCTCCGAAAGTAATCAAAAATAAAGATGGGAAATTGATAATAAAGGAAAAAGAAATAATGAATAGATGGAAAGAATATTTTCAGGAGCTTCTAAACTTTAATTCCCTCATACTACATCTAGACGAACACTCGCCATGTCAAAACCTTGTACTACCTATACAGAACAAGAAATAATTACATGCCAAATAATTACATGCCTCAAGCATATGAAAAACAACAAAGCTAGGGGTCCAGACGATATTCCAATAGAAAGCCTTAAAGCACTAGGAGATGATG